AGCCCTGGAAACACTAAATAAATGAAGTTCTTAACCACTATTAAGCATAATTAAGTTGAAACACCCATACAGTCAATTCTGTGGAGATTCTTACCTCCGAGAGGAGAAGCAAACGTTTGGCACTGAATTGAACAATCCCTAGTTGTAGCATCTTCTGGATTTTCTGAATCTTCTGGTTGCAATGCATTGTTAGTCTTGGAAGAAGCTGCTTCGACAATGGGAGTAGAACTTTCTCTCATGGTAACACCACTGTTGTCGGCTTCACGCAAAGGAGAGAGATCTTCTGCAGATGGGACAATTCAATCGAAACCACAAATCTTTCAATGAAGTAGAAAGCAGAAAATTTCTGTATCTCAACGTTATGCCCTTACCAATAAAACCCATCTTAAACACAAACTCTGAGCCTTTGAAGTTCTAAACAAGTATAAGCCTACTTAGTGCATCGGATAGGTGCAAAGGACATAACCAGTATAGAGCATACAGTGTAGGGAAACCGAAAATAAACAATCAAACAGTAATTATGTGGAGTCTTACCTCCTAGAGGAGAAACAAACGTTTCATACTGAACTGAACAGTCCCTAGTTGTCACATCTTCTGGTTTTTCTGAATCCTCTGGTTGCAACCCAATGTTAGTCTTGGACGAAGCTGCTTCAGCAATGGGAGTCGAACTTTCTCTCACAGTAACACCACTGTTGTCTGCTTCAAGCAAAGGAGAGAGATCTTCTGGAATAGGACAATTCAATATTTCAATGAAGTATAATTTTAACCAACAAAGCCATCTAAAATCCAAGCTGTGCAACCTTTGAACCCTTTTATACTCTAAAGACAGGATTCTAGACAAGTATGAGCCAAATGAGTGGTTCTCTCAAGATCTAGGTAGGAGGGACATAACCAGCATTCAAACTAGGGGACCAAAAATAATAATCAAAGAGTAATTCTGTGAAGGTTCTTACCCCCGAGAGAAGAAACAGATGTTTGATACTGTACCAAAGAATCCCTAATAGTAGCATCTTCTGAGAAAATTTCCTCCATAGGTTTACTATTCTCACAGTTCTGCAATGTCTCGAGTAAAACATATTTATCGGTCTTCCATACACAATCCAATAAGGTGATACACTCTTCTTCCTTTGGATAGAACTAGCGGAATACCTGTATTAATTCCAATAGAGAAAACAGAGTTTGCTGACATGATCATTGAACTATGTAAGAAATCTACACCAAAGATCTTTGACCAACCTCAACCCCGTCCTGTGCTATCTTGACAGACTGTTTCTTCAGTGATGTAGATGTTACCGAATTGAAAACTGAAACAGCATCAAGTAATATCTGCGCCAAACAAAAACGATTCGAAAATTAACCACATTATGCAGACTACGATTAAATCATGGATTGGAGAAACTTCCCACAATGTTCTTTTATTTTAGTTTCATCACAAACAAAGTTAACTTACTTGTTGAATCAACACTCGGAGGCGTGCAAGCAGGGCCAAAAATGTCACAGAAAATCCTATGAAAAATGAACGAGCTAGTAGAGTGGATATCCCACTGTAGAACAAAATTACCCACCGAACAAGATTAGCTCTAAGACATTAAACAAACAATTCAATTCACGAATCAATCAAATACCTAGCTGCCTTCAAGATGGGTTCAGTCATCTGCAACAAACATAATGATCAGTCAGAACACCAAGGATCTTGTTCATATGTATGATCAAAGCTCGATTACGCATACCTGTGAGAGTAAATGAAGAGCTCCAAGAAGTCGTTCCAAGATATTTGGTTTCCCAGTATCAGATTTTTTCAACTTCAAGCTGCATAAACCCCAAAAACAAACCAACTTAGCTCCTACAACATTCTCATAAATCAGTAAAATCAACCAAAGAAAGAGAAGCATACCTCTCCAAAACATGAATCTTCTGTTTACTTATTCTCCCAGAAATAACATGAAAGCAAGGTCTCAACATACTCTCCATGTTTGCTGTTCTTAAAAGTCTCAAGTCCCTTCTCACCTGACCAATAAAAAAAAAACGATTTGCTAAAAATTGAATTCAATCAAATACAAGTTTGTCTCAAAGTTGTCTATTTTTAACACAATCTACCAGAAGAAGAAGAATGTAGATAGATAGATACCTTGAGAAGGTATTGAAAATAAGAGCATCTCCGATGCTGGTTCTTATTCTTGTAGACCATTCTCTCGAACACCGCTTGCTCGAGTTCAAGCTGGCCAAGCTGACTCTTCAGCTTCTCCTCCAGAGCTTTGACTTGTGTATCATCCATGGAGTTTTATTCAAACAATTTCAATGGAACTCTGATTCTTGATACTGCTCTAAATTCGAACAAGACAGAGATTAAGGTTAGGGTTTTAGAGACCTGCAACTTGCAATAAAGCTTCAACTTTTGTTGTTCAAGGAAGACGCAATTTTCTCGGTTTTTGAGGGCGGGTCGGATCGGGTACGGTTCGGTCCTACCATTAACCAACTCTAAATCGAATCGAATAGACACAAAGCCGGTATCTAAACCCCAGACACTAGGATCTGCGATTGAAAGCCGGTTTGGATCTTAAGCGACACGGCGCGTTTTGCTTCTTAGAGAATGGGTCTTGGACTTGGGCTTCGAGGAGAGTCCAGCCCATGACAACCTCAGGCCGTTAATCTGTTTTTTTTTTTTTTTACAATCGGCCGTTAATCTGTTGTAGACAAGTTTTCTCTTCTCTTCTCCTTCCAAAAGAGAGTCAGATAATTTTACTTGTTTGAGCAAAAAATAAAAAGAAAACTAGATCAAATGCACTTTTAAATCAGATAATTTTACTTGTTTGATACATTGTTTGTTAATTTACTAAGTCTTTTAAGTTATAGTTTAAGAGTTTAAGATATAAAAAGTGATAAAATTCCAAAGAAGATGATAATAAAAGCAACTAGACCATTATCAATTTTTGAAATGTGACCCCCATTTCTGCTAAGGCTTTCTTTGCCCGACTCTGATCGTTACAGTGGATTGCAAAGGAAAGAAGAATTGGTGATACTGTTCCGCGGTTGGAAAACTAGCTCGCCAAAACATACATACTTTGTTTAAAATCCTAAAAATGTTTTTATGTTCTTTGTTTATTGTGAGTTTGTGACCTCTCTATAACCTGATAAACTCGAAACCATACAATGGATTCAACGGCAAGCTAGAATAGTATTTGTAACATCTACATTATTCCCATTGGAAGGAGGAAAAGTAATTTAATTTTTAACTCCAAATGGTAAACCAATCGGGTTGAGAAGAAGCTAGGACCAATTAAGCAATTACGCTTTTGAGGACACATAAAGTGAAAGTTCAAATTCTTTTTGGTAACAATTATAATGTTGGTACTAACAAAAGTTAGTTAGATATATAGTAGTGGTCTGAACTGTATAGGGATAAATTGTGTGTATATGTATATACTAAATTTATATAAGAACTAAAATTATATGCATACGCACCGTTAAAAACTAAAATTGTTGTATTGTAGTTTAGGTAGAATAGTTAAACTTGAATTTGTATTGTAGTTTAAGTGGAATTCTTAAAATGAATCTGTATTGTAGTTTAGGTATAGTAGTTTAGGATAAATAGTTAAGATGGAAATCAATCTAAGTAATTTAGGTATAATAGGTAAAAACTTAAAATTCAATTTGTAGGATAAATTTGAAATGGAAATAAATCTTCTTAGTAATTTAGGTAGACTGCTTAAACTTGAATTTGTAATATAGATCGACTTTGGAAAATTTTCTTTTAATTTAGGAAGAATGGCTAGAATAAAATTAATTAAGAAAGATAAAAGGAAGAGGGTTAATTGTTTGCAGGGTAAAAGAAATCTTACTAGTTGGTTTGCAGACATCATGTCATGATAAAATAGTCACTATTCGAAAGAATTTGCTATTCAAAGAGTGTTTTAGTTCAACTTTTCGAACATTAAAATTATTAGTTTTTCTAGTTTTTTCTTTCTTAGGTTTCTTGAAATATTTTAGCATCTTTCTAGGATCTCATCAAACATTCTCTTACTGAATTAGATTAAATAGTGCTTAAAATGTAAATTTTTTTTACCTACACTTGGCTCAGCGGAACACCGTTTCTATTTTCCGAATAACGTTTTTGCTTAACACAGTTGTTAACTTATTGGTATGTCAAGACTCATAAATCAAAAATCAGAGTCCTCAAATCTTGGGGTTGGACCTTAAGAGGCTTTTTGAGTACGGGCCTTGTAAGTTGACGTGAAAAAATCGAAGCTCTCATCTCATTTGTCATCATCTTCTGCTCTCTTAATACCATGGATGGTCCGTGATAATTAGTGTTTGTTGTTTGTGCATTGCATGAATATGTGATCACAAGTAAATTTGTTTGTTGAAACAAAAAGTAATTCAATAAATTAAAATAGGACATGTAAACATGATAATCTAGTAAAATTCATATGGCGGAAAAAAAAAAATCATATGGCGTAATGATTTTTTTCTTCTAATCCAAAAAATGATCATTATGTTTTCCATAAAATCATATTATTGTAAGATCTGTACCACCGCCAATTATGGTACTCTGATCCTATATATGTTAAATCGTTGAGCACCACAAAAAGAGAAATTGGTACATCAAAAAAAGCATTCAATACCACAAATGATTTGGTACTCACAAATAAGATCTTTTAGACAATGAAATTGATGATCGATCGAAATCAACATCCGCAACTATCCTCGATATTTCAATATAAATCACTAAATCATATTTCTACATTCACATGAAACAAACACATCCATTTTTCATATCGAAAACAACTCTACAAAAATCTATCCAAATCAAAACATATCACAATCTGTTTGTTACCCAGCCGTATGTGTATGTATTTGTATGTATGTGAGTATGCGTGTGTTATGTACAATAAATGGAAGTATGATAGACGAGAGCTGTGAGATGTTGATGGGAGATGGGCCTAGTGGGCCCAATGATCACGTGACAGATGTGATGATGGTATAACGAGCTAGGACCCATGGGCCTTAAGAAGACTTTGCTATCTCAACCGACCACCGACGACTGGAACCTTGAGCATTGATGGTGACCTTTCCCACTCAACTCACTGACACGCCCCGTCGTTTTAGTAAACACTCTTCATATGTATTAGAGTATAGTATCTCTGCCCATAAATAGTACGTTATTGATCTTACTATTTTTATATATTCTTTAGATTTTCCCTTTTTAATTTTCTTATAAACAATTACACATAAATTTCTAGATGCTCGTATTACATTTTGTAATTTATTGTATATATGTATAGGATTAAAAAGCAGGTCTATATCTATATATACATGAAGGTATGATCCGTATGGATTGTGAAATTACTAGCTCCATAAAAAAAAAAAATTAAAAAATTTACTAGCTCCTACCGAAGGACACCTGTGTGTACCAATAGTATGCAGTATGCACCTATGTGACTATGTCCAAGTGGGGTCAACTTTTTATATTTTTGTCCTTTACATTTCTAAATGATTAAAATTAATGTTTTAATTAACCGAAATATTTGCAAAAACGAATGATTTTTTATGGCAAGTGCTTTTTTAATAACATAAATTTAATTCTTTTTTAGTTACAAATAGATGTCATTATATTTGATAGCTTTTTGTTTAAATTTTACATGCTATCATCTAATTGTTGCAAACTATGTTGCATGGAAACGGAAACGCGGAAACGAAACGTTTCGAAAACGGGAAACGGTTTTTTTTTAAAGTTAGAGAATGAAAACGTTTTGGAAACATATACACACATATATATATATATATATATATAACACCAAACATAAAAGAATTTTTAAAAAAAATATGTTTTAAACAACACAAATCCAAAACATAAAATATTAAATAGTTTAACTTAAATTCCAAAAAATTAAGATCTAAAGGCTCAAGTTCAAATATTTAGACCAACATTTTCATTCTCATTTTCATTAGTTCCATCAAAGATTATATAAAACTGTCTCCAAATCTGGTTTGTGGAGAAAAAGATCTTAAAACTCGAGTCTCCCAAAATTATTTATATGTATCATAAATCTTAATATTTCCATGATATTTATTTATTAAGTTTCCAAAGTAAAAAAAAATATTTGTCATGTTTCCAAAACGGAAACATGAGTTTTCATCGTGTTTCCAAACAGAGATTTTTAAAAAACGCGTTTCCGTGACGTTTCTTATTGTTTCCGAGAGTTTCCGTTTCTGAAACGTTTCGGAAACGAGAAACGGACCTCGGAGAGAGTTTCCATGCAAGATAGGTTGCAAAAATAAAAGGGTTTTCTAATTTATCAACAGTTTTGCCATATTTTGTTTGCTCATATTTGTTCCCATATAATTATTTATCCAAATAATATTATTCGCCTGTGAACTTCCGAACCTATAAATTCTAAAAATCGAGCGAATATGTAAATAATTAATTTAAATAGATTAATTCGTCAAACATTCGACATTAGAAAATGTCAAATACCTTAGATGCGTGTGGGTGCAGTGTGGTGCGCTGCGCACTGTGCACATGCATATTGAGGCGTTCGTATAGTGCTATTGACGTCCACGAATAGTAGAATATCCAAAACTCGCATGAAATAATGAATTTTATAATACTCCTAATGTTTTGTGATAATTATAGCCACGTCGTATCAAAGCGCATGTGCAAATGTGTAATGAACAAGGTTCTTGCATGAACAGTGTTGAACACTTTAGAAGGATATTGAATACATAAGACGTTAATATATTTAACGTCAATCCCGATCACTACTGAATTTTTCGAAATAAAATTAGACGATATTGAAATTATAGACGATGTTGAAATTAATATGATTAGTTTTTTTTTGGTGGACACATCTACGATAAGCGTTTTTGTGAAATTAATTAATTGTCTTAGTTTTTTTTCCTATATATCAACATGTTTCTATATATTAACCATCTGGTTGACCAGCTGCTCAAACCAGATACGAGGAGTTTACACATCAAAAATCTCTAGAGTGATCTCTAATATAATTCGAGTCAAACAACATCGGCTTATAAAAAATATTAAAATGTTAGATTTTGCATCATCAAAACATTTTTGGTGTTACCATCAATATAATGATTACAACAATATGTGATTTTATTATTGTCAATAGTATCAGTTTAGAGTTTTTAGAGTTTAAGGCCTGGGTGACTACAGCGCGGTATATTAATGATACAAACACAAACAGCATTATAGGCTCATTGCTATTGCTATTCATCACTGTCTTTGTTAGTAACACCACAAACAATATGATTTGTAATTCACTGCTAATTCTCATCACTGTCAAGCATCTATGACATATGAGCGATCGATGTGCATTGTATTATATGTCTGCATGTCACTATTATCGTGTTTTCAGTTAGCACTTTGCACCAGACATTTGCTTACCCACTCTAGTGGTCCTATTTGCTCTTTCCACTAAAATACGGGTCAATTTCATAATTTCTGAAAATATACGGACATCATCCAGTATGAATTATGAAACCATGGATATTTCAAGCGAAGGTACGAAATTAATGCGAACGCTGATTATGAATTTCAATTCACTTTTTATACAAAATGTAAATTTGTAAGAAATATAAATTATAATAAGGTGCGGTATTTTGGTTTAAACTAAACTACGTTTGCTCAAAAAAAAAAAATATTATATCAAGTTATCAACTACAAGTCTACAACTATGAATCATATCAGTTACCAAGGCTTATTCGAAAATCCATAGAACTAGGGACTATAGGTCTAAATGTTTTGGAATGTACAAAACTAGTTGCGATTACTTAATTTGACAACCGGACAAATAATTGCGATTTACAAGTACCATATTTGTACACATACACTACATTCTCATACCAAATAGTTTTATCATTCTTAAGAGGTATACGGTGACGTGGCAAAAGAGGAACCACTGGAACAGGCCACAAAGCTCTTTGAATCAGCAGATAAAGCGGGGTGGCCGACAAGTCGACAATCCAATTTATGTGGACATCAAACTCTTACGTTTCTTCATCCTCCACGCGTCCTCTTAATCCTATCAACCGCCCAGATTCTTCCCAATACAACCAAAATCTTGGCCCACTATTATTAGGGTTAAATTTGTTATATGCGTTTTCAAATCCGTCTTTCAAATTGTGAAATTGACGTGTTAATTAAAGATTAGACTTTCATGAATTAGTTATAAGAAACTCAACGGAAGATAATCTATTTGGGGAAGCAAACAAGATTAATATAGTAAGGTTTTGAACGATAAACTTTGACGAAGGACTGTTATACCACTATGACAATTGTTAAAATCACTATTTAACATTGAAATATTTGTATATCTAAAAGTGATATAACTAATATAATAATTATTCAAAGATGACTGTAATTATGTGGCAAGTGTGCAACTATATTTCACTGTTCAAACCTTAAACATACAACAAATGTTAGACGATATAAATTGGACGTTGTTTTTTCTTGTAGATGAAGCAACTGATTTTAGCTTTTGACAATGCCTCCATTATATTTCCAATACAAAAAGTTTGTGAAAACAATGCAAGTGATTTCATTAAAACTCTACGCGTAACTTCAAATTCCAAAAGAAGCTTCTCGCGAAAATACCTATTTATGTGTTATGTTTCACTTTCACACGCAAAGTAAAATTCGATACTTATTTAAATTAAGTACAAAAACTTTAGTACACCAGAAATGATTCTAGCATGAAGCAACGTAGTTCAGTGAGATGTATCATGTGGACTATGTCTTAGTCTCTTAGACTCAGTACGAGGATAATATCTAAAGAATAAATAAAATTTGTATATCATATAATATAATTATATACGTAATCACGAGTCAGCCCATTTAAAACATCTCATTTGATATGGGATTAGGTTAAAGAAAACAAATGCGTAGGTTATTTAGACTTCTAATTCATTTCTATTAGAATATGATTCATTGTTTTGCATAGTAAAAACAAATTGTTTATTGTTTTAAAGATGCTGCTGGAAAATATGGATTCGAAATTTCGTTACATTATCTCATTATATTCGTTACAAGATATTAACCTCTTACACGAAATAAATTGTTGTCCCCAATAAAAATCTGATTGTTCAAGAAACAATTTGATATGTATCTTATAGTTCAAAAATTCTTGCATTAACAACATTTCGAAACTCTGGGGATTTACTATAAAATTTGACGTGAAAATAAAAGATATATAAACACTAACAATTTTGTTATCAATCATTGGACGTTTGATGCGACATCTTTGGCATAAATAAATATACAACCGAAATATAACAAATCACTTCAATGCGCAAAGATATTAATAAATAATAATTCCATGGGGCCAATTTTTGGACTCGAAGCTAACTTCTGAATACAGCCACACTACGGGATTGTAAAATGCAAAATATCACAGGGGCATAATCGTAATTTAAACATAAACTGCCTGTTCAGACATATGAAAGATATGCTTTGTCAGAGTTTCAGAACAAGTCTTTCCCATGCTTACCACTTCACCTCTCTCTCTCTCCTCTTCTTCACTGTAACCTCCCAATTCCAAAAAATTATATCCCAAACTTGATTGTATAATTTTCTTTATCATCTCTCTAAGAAATGCAAGATATTCATGATTACTCGATGACCGGAGTTGGCGGTGGAGGAGGTGGAGGAGGGAGGTTTTTCGGTGGAGGAATGGGCGGTGGAGGAGGTGGAGATCGGAGGATGAGAGCTCATCAGAACAATATACTTAACCATCATCAATCTCTCAAGTGTCCTCGTTGTAATTCTCTTAACACAAAGTTTTGTTACTATAACAATTACAATCTTTCTCAGCCTCGACACTTTTGCAAGAACTGTCGTCGTTACTGGACTAAAGGTGGTGTTCTCCGTAACGTTCCCGTCGGAGGTGGTTGCCGGAAAGCTAAACGTTCGAAAACAAAACAGGTTTCGTCGTCGTCCTCAGCCGACAAACCAACGACAACGCAAGATGATCATCACGTGGAGGAGAAATCGAGTACGGGATCTCACTCTAGCAGCGAGAGCTCTTCTCTCACCGCTTCTAACTCTACCACCGTCGCCGCTGTCTCCGTCACCGCGGCGGCAGAGGTTGCTTCGTCGGTTATTCCCGGGTCGGTTATTCCCGGTTTTGATATGCCTAATATGAAACTGTACGGGAACGGGATCGAGTGGTCGACGTTACTCGGACAAGGCTCATCGGACGGTGGAGTTTTCTCTGACATCGAGGGTTTTACGGCGGCGTCGGCTATTGGAACGACAGCGTTTGGATTCGGGGGTAAATTCGTAAATCAAGACGATCATCTGAAGTTAGAAGGTGAAACTGTACAGCAGCAGCAGTTTGGAGATCGAACGGCTCAGGTTGAGTTTCAAGGAAGATCTTCGGATCCGAATATGGGATTTGAACCGTTGGATTGGGGAAGTGGCGGAGGAGATCAAACACTGTTTGATCTAACCAGTACCGTTGATCATGCATACTGGAGTCAAAGTCAATGGACGGCGTCTGACCAAGATCAGAATGGTCTCTACCTTCCTTGATTCTCTGATCATAACTTCTTCTGCTTAACCCAAATATATATATCTCATACACATAAGGTAAAGTTCGATGAAGTGGTTTATTTTATTTTATTTTTATGGGTTTAAAACGGGATTTATTATTATATGACTGTTTGAAATATAAATTTTACCTTCGTTTTTTGGTTAGTTTTTGGAATATCCCAAGAGTGCAAATTTATGTGGCATGGTTTTAATTTGGCTTCGGTTCAGTTTTGGAACTGGCCTTTTTACTTATCGTTGTATATTTGATAAGATTTTAATTTTCTGGGATTTTTTTTGGTTTTCATTGATGTATCTATTAAATTTATATATTGATTGGGCATACAAATCTTGTCTTCATGCTTCTTTTTTGATTATGCGTTTTCTTTTGGCTTTAATTCTTTGTTTATGTATTTCTCTACGTATGACTCATTAGTCATTATGAACAGGTTCGGTGTAGCTAAGTTCCGCCGTGTTAGCACTCAAATAAACAATAGTAAAATCAATTTCTTATTATACCTTAACTATCTTCGGAAACATATGATCGAATTTTATAATATCCAATAAAAACAACTATTTATTCCACCTCACAGCTTATACTACTAGGTCATTGAAAACTAAATTAATGATCTACTATTATAGTATTAATCAATTTCTATTACTATAAATTAAGAGTAGTTCGAGAGCGTAGTAATCCTAGGTTTGTTATTGATACAAATATATACTCCTTCTGTTCCTAGATATTTGATGTTCTAGAGTTTTAGTTTGTTTCACAAAGTTTGATTTTTTAAGTTTTTGTTTTATTTTTTATTGATTAAAATTAATATATCGTAAACTTCAAGACGTAATGATTAACTGTTTTCTAATACTATTGGTTCAAAGTTATTAAAAAATATTTAGTATAAAAATGTAATTGACAAATAATTAAACAATGATTGTTTTTTAATATATGTGAAAACTCTAAAACATTAATCTTCTAGGAACAGAGGAAGTATATTTTTGAATGCAGATTATTTTGGAGATTGATTACTCTCAGTGGCGAATTAGAAAGTTTTTGAGGGAATTGTACGGACAAAACGAGAGAGCCGTGCCGTCGCGTAAAAACAGTGCAAAGCAAAAATAGACGAGCGATTTGCGCAGAGGACCCACGTGTTAGTGACGAGTCTCATGCGCGACATGTATTCCACGTGGCTCAAGATGTGTCCCACTTCACGTGTCGTAACCTCTATGGCTGACGTACTTATAATATCGAAGTCGGTTCGTCGTTTTCTCTAACACCAATCGCTCGTAAACGACTTCAAAGATCTATCTAGCCGAGAGATAGAGAGTACGGATTCTCTCTCTGATTGTGGGCCGTTGGATCAGGGAAAACTCAGAGCTCGTATACGTCGTTGGATTGGATTGATGACACTAGGAATCAATGGTGATGATGGAGAGGGGTCCAGATTAGGTAGGTGGTGGTCATTGTAGGGAAAACACTTGAGAGGAGAGTAGGTCCATTAGGACATGTGCTTAAGTTATATAAAATCTCATACAAATCACACACGGGAGAGTTTGGTTGGGCGGTTGGGAGAGTTTGGGATTGTCTGTGAGTTGGTGTATGACTCCACCATGTTCCCCTAATCATTTTTTCGATTTATTATTTCATGATTTCTTACTTGTATTTTTCTGAATATTTTTCATCGATCGACTCGATTGTTTGACAAATTAGAGAATTTTCAAATGTGGGTTTTCTTATAAGTACACTCAGGCCGGCTCAATTTTATTAAGGTCCCTGAACTAAAAAAAAAAATAGGCCTTTTTCTTTATAGATTTTAGAAAAAAAAAAAATTTGGACCTTATTTTATTCAAAAAAAAACAAAAAAAAAGTAATAGACCGTTTTTAAAAGATTAAGATTAAAAATTGCTTGTGATTCTCTCTTCGGCTTAATAGCTTTTTTTTTTTTTTTGTAGGTGGACTCTTTCTGTCCAGTTACACTGTCATTTTTGACATTTTTCTCTTTGGCTATTTTGTAGAATCTTCTAGAACTCTTAAATATGGTAGAATGTTTTAGAGATTATAGAGTAAGTACTGTAGAAGGATTCAAATGATCTCACATGCACAATTAGCACTTTTCAAATTCTCCCATATCATAACTAACTTTGTCTAAAACACATTCACATACATAGATCCTAATCTTCTAAGCCATGTTGATGGAACCATCATGTGATGCGACTTGGTTTCATATTATGATGTAATACGTTCTTGACACGTGAATTATGTCTAAAACCATTGGTCAAAGTGTTTTGTATGTGGAAATGCGTATAGAATTTGGGGAAAACTGTTGAAAAATGGTTCTATCACTAAAAGCTATCTTGATTCTCACATCGAAAGCCATAGGTATCAATTAATGTCGATATCTAAATCTGAACCTCCAAAGAACCGATCTGAGATCAAACATATGGCCGAAGTGATCACCCGCTAAGATAGTAAAGTTTTGTAGGAATCTCTTATGTAAATGTCGAAGTTGAAGATAAGTCACCATCACTTGACAAGGAACTCAAAGAAATCGAAGAATCAGACAATGACAATGCAGAAATTGAAACGTGAAACAGTTGACGTCGGTGGGATTAAGGTCACAGAAGGGTATAAAACACGGCGATAGCCGATAGGAAACATCACTTAGAATAAATTAATACTAATAGATTAATTTTTTTAGTAAGTATTTAAATTGTTCAATGGTGCAGTATCAAGTTACCATTAGTAGAAATGACTGCTAAATGAAATGGTAATGCGATCATAGAAAAGATAACTTATAGACAAATTTATAGATTTAACATTTGAAAGAAAATCAATTAACATGCAAATTTCTCCAATGGTAGATTATCAAATTAAGGGTAACATTCTAATTGATTAGCTCAAACTATATTTAGGTATCTATAGTAGGTTGCTGAGCTGGGATTACAATTGAAACAGCTGTGGATTTTTATGGAAAGACTTCGTAAGTGGTCCATTCTTAGACTTTGAATATTCAAAGGCATACATGGGTCGATAGAAAGGGTGACCGCTCGTCCTAACCGTTTTTTTCGTATGACTATTTGTATGTAACAGAGTCTAAGCACTCAAGCACTTTTTATTTCTTTGCTTAACAACACAAACCACATATATAAAAAATGGATCCATATATTAGAATGTCATGATTAATGATCCAGCGTATGTCTTTACTTAAAATCTGAAAATAAAAATAAAAAATGAAGAGCTCTATCATCTATGTAATTATTGTTTTTCTAAAAGATCATGTCTGTGTTTTTTGCAAAAATTATTTTCTAAATTGAAAGGCCAACTCATCTTTGGATTAAAAAAAACCCAATCAAGTTTCACAAAAAAAGTGTAAATTGATGAGAACCCCAATGTCCCCCAACTAAAAAAATGAAATTAAATTTCGTAAAATCGATTCATAACTACAACCAACATATATCAAGATGATATCTTTTGTGTGTGTGTTTTAGATTGAAACTATTACGAATAGATTTATTCATGCATGTTCTTGCAAACACATCAACGGAACACTAGAACATGATACATATTGTCTTTACACCATCTGGTCCATCTCCATCTTCAACTATAAACTCATTCATAGTTTAAAATCAATTTAAATCTTTTGGGAATCTTATAAATTATTTCGGTGTAACGTCAATAAAATAACTTTAGACCGATATAATATTTAGGTGAAAAAGTTTTTTTTTTTTCTTTTAACAGCATTTAGGTGAAAAAGTTAAGACGTTAAAAAAAAAAACGAATCACTTATTTCAGCCCAAATGAAAATAGGTAAAAATCATTAATATAAATAAAAAAATAAAAAAATAAAAAATCGTTTCCCGGACCCAAAATAAAGGTCTGTATAACGACCCAGACCCGAACCTAAGTCGGATCCGGATTTCCGTGATTTATTTTTTACATTTTTGTCCTTTTCCCTGAAAATTTGAAACTCTTTTCTTCTTCTTCTTCTCCTTGGTTGATCAAAACGCGCTAAATTACCAGAAATCTCAGATCCATAAAATTTTCAAGGAGGGCGAAAAACCTCACAATGGCGGCATATAGAGCCGACGACGACTACGATTACCTCTTCAAGGTTGTGTTAATTGGAGATTCCGGTGTCGGAAAATCCAACCTCCTTTCTCGATTCACGCGAAACGAGTTCAGTCTCGAATCTAAATCCACGATCGGTGTCGAATTCGCCACTCGTAGCATCCATGTCGATGATAAGATCGTCAAAGCCCAGATTTGGGATACCGCCGGCCAAGAGAGGTATGTATGCAATTCTCGCATTGATAATAAGATCGATTAGAATTTAAGAATTCTGAAATTTTGAAGAAAATTTGGATATACGTAATCGTGATTGATGAACAAGTTTTGTTGATTTTGATTTGGTTTTGAAGATATCGAGCAATCACAAGTGCATACTACAGAGGAGCTGTAGGAGCATTGCTTGTGTACGATGTCACAAGACATGTGACATTTGAGAACCTTGAGAGATGGTTAAAGGAGCTTCGAGATCATACAGATTCTAACATTGTCATCATGTTTGTTGGGAACAAAGCCGATCTCCGTCACCTACGAGCTGTTTCCACTGAAGACGCTAAGGCTTTTGCGGAGAGAGAGAACACTTTCTTCATGGAGACATCTGCTCTCGAATCCATGAACGTTGAGAATGCTTTCACTGAAGTGCTTTCTCAGATTTACCGTGTGGTTAGCCGCAAAGCGTTGGATATAGGAGATGACCCGGCTGCTCTTCCCAAAGGACAGACCATCAACGTTGGGTCTAAAGACGATGTCTCTGCCGTTAAAAAGGTTGGTTGCTGCTCAAATTGATGCTACTTTCGACTTTCAAGAATCTGTCTCTTCATTTCTTTTTGTTGTTATACGTGAAGATCTTGTTCATTTAGTTGTATAATCACACACCTTATACCATATTGAATACCACTGCGTTTCCATTTCAAATGTATATACCAAACAACATTTGAGTTGAACCTCAATGTACTGCGTTTCTAAGCGAGCCGTCGACTGTTTACTATCGTCTATCAAAGTGTTTATCAATGTGATCTTGAGACCAAACACAGAGCATGTGAAGCACCAATGGAAACTGAGATAACCTTGTGTGGTTGACGCTCATCTTCTTCGGTTAAGAAATTGACTTCGACCGGAGTAGTTTGGATCTCCGGGAGACCTGGAACTCCTAGCTGGAAATCTTTAGCGTTTCCCCACATCCAGAGTTCACCACCATCTGTTCGAAAATCAATCCCATGTTTTTAGTTTTTTGAGTTAATTTCACGTCAAATGAAAATATATCTCTAGCTTCTTTATATACCTGTTATCGCTGCAGACGAGGAACCTCCACAAGCGATGAAGACGATCTTTTTATCTGCTAATGCTTCGATTTCTGTAGGAATTTTCTGGTTTCGCAACGAGGAATTACCCAACTGGCCATGGCCACCGTGGCCCCATGAGAGTACTTTACCTTCCTCTGTTTTCACATCAAGCAATTTTCAAGGCATATTAGTAGAAATCGACTGGAGAAATTGTTCGGTTGAGAGAAGATTGTTTACTGGTTAAGGCAAGAGAATGATATCCACCGCAAGCAATCTGGGTAATACGAACACTATCTAAACTGGGAACCGGCAATGGTTCCCAACCTCCCAAGTTATCACCGCGTCCGAGCTCATAATTGGAATTTGCTGATACATAAAGATCCAATGAATTCCTTTTAACACTAACAATGGTAGAAACGAAGGCTTAAATTGGTATTTACCTCCCCAGTTCCAGAGTTGTCCCTCTTTTGTAAGAGCCATTGTGAAAAAACCACCACATGAGACAGAGGCTACGGGAACTGTTAAAGCTTTGACCTTTGAAGGAACACTAAGCCCACCACCTTCGTTTGGTCCTCGACCTGGCCCAAGTCCTAATCTACCATCCCCTTCTTCTCTTCCCCACATATACAGCTCTCCTACAACCAAGAACAAGTCCTGCTCGATTGAGTTATACAGAGCAAATACTAGTATATCAAACAGTTGAAACAAAGAAGAAGAAGAACCGGTCTAGATCTTGAGGAAAAGAGGGTAACTATAGTCATAGTGGGGATCTATTACTCTTATAGTTACAGCTACTTCGTCTACCTAACAGTTTCGGCTTGTTCGAAAACTTCAATCAAGTTCTTTTGAAGTTGTATATACATATGAAAACATGTCTATAACAACAGAAATGTAACAAGAAGAGAAAGCATGTGGGAACCTGATTCGGTAATAGCAGCGGTATGAGTTCCACTGGTAGCAATGGCAGAGATTTTGCAATCCCAAGAGCCGTCCACACATCGAGGAACGAGTTCTCTAGTGTAAACCTTATGTCCAAGCGCTCCAAAACCACCATAACCCCTAACAACTTCATTTTTAATAATATGGAACCATCACATTATGCAGAAGCAAAGGATCAAACACAAATGCCAAATCTAGCTAATAATATCCATTAACATTGCATCAACTAGCTCAAACAGTATGATTCCAAACTCAAATTGAGATTATTGAAGCTAGAGCTCACCAAGTGAATACATCTCCTTGATGTGTTAAAGCTACTGAATGCAAACCACCAAGAGCAATACATCGAATCGAATGTTCCTCGAAAAGCGGGTTTAAATTGGGGACGAACACCGAATTCTCTTGGCCAAACCCTAGCCTACCTCCGTCACCTTTGCCCCAAATCCATAGATCTCCATCGATGGTTAGACCCGAATGGAACAAGCCGCAAGAGATTCCAATCGGGAAACTCGATGACTCGGCGTCGATTCTTCCAGGAGTTTGGGCGAGAGAGAAGGATTGATCGGAGCGAAGGAGAAGATTAGCGACCGGAGACGGATACATTCGAATCTCCTCGATTCCGCCGCCGAGTTGACCTGATGCGCCTCGTCCCCACGAGAAGAGCTGGAGAGTGATGGGATCCGAGTCGATATCTGGGCTTGTGTAGAGTGTGGGCACCTTGGTGGTAGCTCCTCCGCTACTTCTTTGAGTTGTCCGGGTGGAGGAGAAGCGGCGCGTGAAGATACGTAGGCGGTTGCTTAACGCTGCCATTGTTGGTTGTTTCATCGGAGTTTCATCACTCACTCACTAGTCACTACCGGTGGGTTTTAAGATGCGAGACTTATTGAAACGACCGCGTTTTGGAAGTTAGATGGAATAATAACTCGTTAGGTCCCTATATTATTATTTTGTTTTCAACAAGACCCTATATGATTATTGTTTTACTTTAGACCCTCTATTATTTGTAATGGTGAAATTATGTCTAATTGTAAATTTATATTTAAAATAGAAATTTTTTTATAGTCACTATTTTTCTACTTGAAATATTTTGAAATTTGCAAAAGTTTTCAAGTTTCATATCTCCAATGTTTTCTGGAAAAAACAATAGTGTATGTTGAAGCTGTGATTCTTACTTGTAGTCACATATCTTTTGGCACTAATTTACACCAAGTTTTCTTCTTTAGACATACATTCAAATTTGAGAACAGATATACATAGATATGTGTAACCATCAAGACATGAGGATACTGATGATTTCATATCAGTTTGTCTTATCAAGATTGTAGATAATCTGTCCTTTAAGAGTGTTTCTTTACTCAGAAGTCAGAAACAGAGTAAAACAAAAGAATTGGATAAACTTGTAGAATGTTATCTTTTTCAGAATCTACAGCATTGGAACCCTAAAGCAACCGGCTTTTGTTTCTTGGGAGACAAGTCATCTGATTCAGGCATCTTAACAGGGCTCCCCATCCACTCTACTCCTAATCTGCATCAATTTCAATCCCATATTGTACAGATTATCAATTTTGCAGAAAACTTAATTTCCAAACAAAAACTGTTAACTCTTTTGTTGTTATTGAAACTCACATGGGAAATGCAAAAGATCCCCTTCCTTCATCTGAGTGACTAGACCCGCTAGATTTATCAGAGGCATCAATGTCTTCTTCTTCTACTTCGGTTTTCTGCAACATTCCAAGACTAATAAATACTTAAAAAATGGTAAATTCTCAAGTACTTTGAAGTTGAAAGATCTTAAGAAACATTACTTGTGTAACATCACAAGAGACATCTTTAGTTTCTTGACATGAAGTGTTATTGTTCTGATCTTGTTCTGTTCCTTTATTCTCCGGCGACTTATTCTTTTCTGTTTCTCCTACTCCTTGGTCTCCTCCATATACAAGCTGTTCTTAGAAACAAATAAATTCAAAACCTTAGACTAATAGCCTAGTGGTAATGTTTTTAACTTTTTAAAACAATATTGATTTTTGGACAACGAACCTTACGATTCACCGTCCTCGGTGACTTTTCCGACGACAATTCGGTCTCTTTCCTCTCTTGTTTACCCTCTTTAACCACATCAAATCCTCCATCTTCGCGATCGAAGCAGAAGACAATGAAACCAGATTCTTCTGAGACAGGTGGCTGAGGCCAGCTCAAGCGCCGGTGTTGAGACGCCGACGTCGTCGGAGAAACGCTACTGCTTCTTAGATGAAGATGATGATGACGTGTACCCGGTGGGCTTAGACTGAGTTTCCTCTCTGATCTCTTCTTCTTAGTACTCTTTATCTTCCTCTTAATCCTCTTGAACGTTAGATTATTGTTGTTCGTAGTGTTTCCATTGTTATTAACTCCATCTTCATCTACGTCTGATACATATATATAATTGGTTAAACAATTTGAAACAATGATTGAAAAAGTATAATGAAATTAGGAAGAAGTGAATAGAAGAAGACCTAGAGGAATCTTGCAAGCCAAGAAACAGGAAGCCCAATCTTTGACTCTCCAAGTGACAAGTTTTGGTATTGTCCACTGTGAAGCCATGGCTGTTATGTTTTTTTGTGTTTCTTTGTCACGAGAAATAGTCTTTTTGTGTGAGTGTGTGTTTTGGCTTTTTCAAGAAATGTTTTCACAAGGGAGAGAAAGAATTTATTATGAGGGAGAAGAATGATTTGAAATTTGAAAAAAAAAATGGGAGACAAGAAATAGATTGCCATGAATTGGGGAAGGGGGTTACAATGTGTAACACATGAATGCATTAAATATTATTGGAATAAAAGGAAATAACATTTTTATTCTGGAATTGTAATAATTGGGCAGTAAATGCTATCATAGTTCTTTTTCAAAAAAAAAAAAAAATGCTATCATAGTAAATAAACACTGCTATATGAAATTCAATTTTATTTTTCATCTGTCAATGTATAAATTCAATTTTCGTGTGTCAAAAAGATGGCATAACCGAGGATGTGCCTTTAGTCAAGTGGTTAAGTCCACTTGACTCCGCCTTCCCCACCGGAGTTCGACTCCACTAAGTCGCGTTACCCCGCGTAGTAGGGATTGGGTATGGATCGAGCCTTGTCGATCCAAAGATGTCAAAAAAAAAAAAAAAAAGACGGCATAACCAATGGACCGTTGGCTAGAGACATGGATGCCATTTAATTTATGGAATTTTCTTTTCAATGAAACTTATAACATAGGAATATTCATGGGCCCATTTATGAAGCCCAGTACCTGACTAAAAGAATACAAAGTCCACTAGATGTACAACTTTTGCTTGTGCGTAATGGTCAACGAACGGAACGGTCCGATAATTCTCTGTCTTAGAGATTGTCGTTTGAAAAGCTAGACGAACGAAAATCCCGATACAAAGTGTCCAACCAGTCTGGTCTCAATACGGTCACCATGTAAGTTGCGAGCAATTGAGTCCGAAATTGAGGATACAGGGATATGCTAAAATAGGTGATATCTGCCTCCCCACATAGCACACAACATTGAGGTCCATTTGATTTGTTAGAGATATTATGATTCGAGACATGTTAATTGTTATACATTGATCTCATGTTTGATACATTCAATTATATTGCTTGGTTTAAGGCTTCATCAGAAACCATTTTTTGTTTTTGAAATCAACTCTGTTTAACATTATTTTCTCCTTCTTTAGAATATCTTTTTAGCACAAAAACTTCACCTTCTTCGTTGTGTTTGTTTACTAGATTGAGCACATACTCTTTTTTTGGGCAAAATACCACATACTCAATAACATGAAATGCATGGGCGTGCAAATTAGAGGGGTCCACTATAAAGCACATGATTCACGACCAAACATGATTTGTTGTAAAGTGTGGCTTTGCATAGTCGAGTATTATACACCAAACACTAAGAAAAAAATGCGTTACAAATTTTTCGCTTCATTTGTTTACCATTTCATGCTAGCTGCCAAATATCATTTAACTACCTCCACTAAGCATGGACGTTCGGTTCTTCGTTCTCGTTCAGTTTGGTTCTTTCGGTTCCAGTTTCTTAAAATCCATAAAATCACTGTTCTAAAAATCGGCCGCTTATGCGCTGATCGGAAGGTAACCGCAGCATAAATTTGTATAAAAATCATAAATTTGAGCTTAAAATCTTGTTTTCATGTGTTTAATGCAATTTTTAAAACAATATTATATAAATTTCATAATTCTATTGGATTAATATGTTTTTAAAACATTAAATAGCCTTAAAACTAATCCCCGTTTAATTTCCGATTTTTTTGCTAGGCGGTAGGTCCACCCTCACCCCCAACTAGCGCCTAGCAATTTTTTGAACACGGCATAAAATAACCGAAATTTTTTTCAACTCGGTTCGGTTCGGTTCGAATATTTAAAAAGAAAACCGATAAATAACCGAACTCTAATAGATATCGATTCGGTTCCGGTTATTTATACAAAATACCCACACAAAAAAACGAAAAACTCAAATATCCGATTTTTTTTTTTAAATGTAATGGGTTAATATATATTGGACACAAATAAGCAAAAATCTATTGGATGAGGTAGGGATGGGCGTTCTATTCTTCGGTTTGGTTCCAGTTATTTTACCCAAAATACCCAAAAACGAACCGAAACATCCAAATATCCGATTTTTTTTTGATAAAAATGTAATAGGCCAATATATCCAAAAAATTAACAAAAATCTATTGGATGAAGGGTTGAGACAAAATATATTGGACATCGATATAGGTTTATAGAAGATTGACCAAACATTTTTTGTTATGTTCGGGTACCCATAAATATCGGTTCGGTTAAGTTTTTATCTAATATCCAGTAGAAAATGTGACTAAGATATATTCGGATACTTAGTGGTTAGTTCGGTTCTTTGGTTCCGGTTTGATGCTCAAGCCTAGCCTCCGCTCTGTTTTTTTTTTTCTTGGGGAGATATTAACATTTTTTGGATCGCATATGTATATTCTATAATTGAGATTTTAGAGAAATAAGCTGATACATGTGTTCTCATTATGGAATTTCTTACAGGTCCCTCTTTCATAAAAACTACAGTTTCTTTTTATAAAATATGTAAAGGAAATCTTCCATGATATCTAATTTTATAAGATTGATCTGCTGGATGGCCTACGAAAACGAGTCATTTTTTCGAATCTCCTTATGTAAAGTAAAGACTCTCCTGTAGTAGTTTACTGGTTTGGCCTTCTGAGTGATGAAAGACTCCCATGTGGCTTTAGGATGATCAAATTCCATCTACGGATTTTCATTGTTTGGTCCATTTTAAATTACAGTAGATATCTGATTTTCTATAATTTTCTGAGCTTTATTTGGATTTCGATTCAAATCTCTATTAAAATGACCCAAAAACTAAGTAATTGTGAATATCATGGCCGGTGGACATAAAAACAAAAACGAGCAGAAATTCATCAATGAAAACTGAACAGAATTTTATGATAACCTGGACGGTACATAGATTTTTATATCAAATAAACCTAACCAAACGCAAATAAAACCTCAACTTATATAAAACCAATTTTATTATATCTAAATATAGTTAATTATGCTATAAATATATTTAATACTTACTAAAGTTACGTAATTATTCTTATTTTAATATCTTTTTAAGATAAACCCAAATCAAACCTGGACCGAATCCCCTTCTCAAATTCCAGAAAATATATATAATCCCAAATTCGAACCAAACCAAAAAAATCCAAATGCCAAAACCTGACGTGAATTAATAATGTCCATGTATAGAATGGTTCCAAAAAAGAACAAGACATATATAATTGTAAGCGGAAAAAGTAAAAAAATAGTATTTAATTATGTTAATTATATTACGTATATCTCTATATAAAATATTTTTAAAAAAATATATTTCTATTTAGAATGAAAAGAAGAAGAAAAAAAGCTGTAAAAAATGGGTCATATATTCTCATATGTGCAGTTGTGCACATCGTGGTGGAGTGTGAAGAGACGAGAAAAGGGAACCATGTGGCCATGTGGGGGTCATACGACGACAATAGGCGTGTTTATACTTTATACTAATGCAAGAGACTACAGAATATGACACAATAATGCATCCAATGATTCAACAATATATTATCATGTAAGCTCTAATTGATTATTCTTAAAATAGAAAACCCACCAAAGTGAGTGAGAATTACTTCAAGAATACGACAAGTGGTAGATCATTGTGCTTTTATACTTTATAGCCGCAAAGTACTAGATCCAAATTCAGAGTAATATTTGAAGTCTACAAAATTTCAATCTCTAGCTAAGATCCATATGCCGCTGACTACAAAACCAATATTACTTAATTTCTCTTCTTTGGTTTTATAAACATTATTTTTGAGTATGTTTTCTAATAGAGTGTTATGACATTTTTATAAATAATATTTTTATTACATAATTAAGAAAACTGGAAAATAAAACATAAATAGCTAATTAACGCATTTTCTTCTTCTATCCTTCATATATATTTTTCACTCCTTCTTTTCGTTCTCGGTATCAATAAAATAAATCATCTCCTTGAGCTAATATATCATTTTTTCTTCTTTGCCAACTTTATTCTTTTGCCTCTGTTTTTTCGAATAGCCTTTACAATAGTTTGGAAATCAAACCAAATTTCTCGACGATCATTCTCAAGAATATATAGAACAATTTGGGGTTCGTCGTGTTTATTAAACGAAGAATTTAACATGATGCCATCATTTGTTTGCCGTTAAACATTGATTGATGGCGGCCACAATAATGATATTAGTTTCCATTAGAATAATAAGAATTAAATCATCTATATGAAGATCCATGTTATCAAATAAACTTTTATTTCCGTCAAAAAAGCTTCTTCTTTTTTTTTTGGTGTGAAAAATATGCTTAGAAGGTTACAGTATAGTTTAACGTGTTATACTATAAATCTCATTAATTTTTTTTTTTTTGGACAAACTATAAATCTCATTAATCTCTATACTATTAAAAGAGAAGTACAAATGCAAATGGGTCGGGTCAAAATCAGAAAATTGACCCAAAATTCTGAAATCGGATCTTTGAATTTTTTTTGGAATATGATTTTTAATTAATATTTAATAATGAAAAATCTCTATACTATTAAATCTCTATACTATTAAAAGAGAAGTACAAATGCAAATGGGTCGGGTCAAAATCAGAAAATTGATCCAAAATTCTGAAATCGGATCTTTGAATTTTTTTTGGAATATGATTTCTAATTAATATTTAATAATGAAAAATCGAACTAAAATAAAATATTTATTGAAATCAAATAAAATATGATTGTATTTATGGTAACTAATTATAAAAGCATATTCCAAACAATACTATACATTAATTACGTATAATATATTTGTTCATATATTTTTGGAACTAATTCCATAACAATCAACGTTTTGTCATTAATTTTGCTTATTTTAGCCAATTAGCATTAATTGAAAGATATCTTACTTGCTTCAAAAGATTTCTAGAAAATTTATCACAACTAACCCATATATTTTATAAATTAAATAGATATTTTTATTTTGGTCGTGTAAATTAAATAGATATGAAATCCATGTAACTAATTTTAATTTAATTAAATTAAACGAAATTATGGTATTTTCATACTGATAGCTTACCAAAGAAGTTTAATTTTAAAATTATAAAGATTTCTTGAATATGATTTTTAGAATTATTCAACAAGATGATAAATATTTATTAAATATTGCGAATCATGAAAAATAATAATTAACTTTTAATCGTTATATTTCACCTTTCAAAGTTTCAATCTCTCATCTAAGAAATATGATATAGATTCTATTATTCCTAAGTCCAAACTCTATTTTGTTGT